GCGGCGCAATCTGGACGGAAAGCCGGAGCACATGCCATCCGTTGATGACGCGGAGTCGGTCAAGTTCTTCGCGCACTTGGCGGAGCAGCGCCAAGCGTGCGGCGGTCGGCTGAATTGGACCACTGTTCGCGCTGGCCTGATCACTGCAATCAGCGACAAAATCATCGAGAGCCACACCACGGCAGTCGGAGGCGTGTTCAAGCCGAAGTCTGTGTGGGAAAGAAAAGGCTACACGACGCAGCAGATCGAAGAGTCCCCACACGAATGGGACCCTATCCTGGGAGACACGTACGCGGTGATGCTGAAGTCCGTGTGCCGACAGACAACCGTGCAGAACGTGACGAGCGCTGTGCTCGAACACGAAAAGCGAGCCACCGCCAAAAAGAACAAAAAGCCCAAGGGCGGAGCTCCTGCAGATGAAGAGGCCTTGGATCTCGATCTCCCTCTGCCCCCGAAGGCTGAGTGCAATAGCACGAAGTCTGTCACAGCGGAGCACAAGCGACAGGCGCAAGTGGCTAAAAAAGTCGCGAGCCAAAACACCAAAGCCGCAGCGCTGGCTGCGAAAGCCGTGAGCTGCCTCCACCCGGTTTGCGCCGCGCTGGAGAAGTCTTTGGCCTGCGTGGCCAAGCGTCCCTCGGACGCAAGTCGGTCTGGTCTTGAGCAAGCGTTGACCGACAGCAAGGCAAAGCTTACATGCTGGCTGGCTGCCTGCCGGGATCTTCTGGTACAGCACGAGCAGGAGAAGCCGTCCCAGGAGCCACAGGCGCTCGCCTCGCTTCCCTTCACGGCCGATGATCTCAAGCCCGCTTTGGCTTGTGCGCGAGAGGTGCTCAAGTCTGTTAAAGTCAGTGCGCCGGCACGCAAGCGGGCGGCGCCCGAGCAGGGGGATGGCCCTGCAGACGTGTCGGCGCAGCCGAAGCGTCGCCGCGCAAAGTGAGGCGGGGCTTTTATAAAACGCATGTCGCAATAATTCAGCACGTTTGCTTTAGTCCTGCGTCTTGTGGCGTGACTGCGCCGATGCAGGTGTTGCCTGGATAGCGTGTTGTGTAGACGCGCGCCGGCGCCGCAAGACTTGCATTAGCCTGGGTATATAGAGAAAAGTCATCGCAGCTCTGGCAGCTTTGTGCCGCGCTTTTGGCGTTTCGGTAAGGGCCGCAGTCTGTGGTATAGCTCAGTCCCCTCAAGCAATAACCGCTGCAGAGGATGCCATTGGGTTTAGGGTCATGAAGCGAACGTGTCTGCATGGTGGGCTTGTCACACTACACTCAAAGCGAAGACCTATACATACAGCGTTTGCTTTTCGATTTTTTTGCTGTTTCTCAAAAGCTATGGCCAAAAGACCACGTGATCCCCGCAGCACCGCCAGTGCCGCAAGCCAGTTCCACACGCTGCGCCAGATTCCATCCATCGGCCCGGCTCAGTGTCGCCAGATCGTTGCGGTGCTGGACGCGGATGGGCGGGGCACACGCGTGCAGCAACGACGTGATGAGGTGCATGGCGAGGTGATGGAGCACCTTCAGGTCATGGACCTGCCGGCCAAGGATCCCGCATCCAAAGTCCAAGTCAGCTACATGTCTGTAGCCGGCGTGCTGCAGGCTAAGTGCAACGCTTGTCCACTGTTCCATGACTGCCTCCGCGCAATAGCCCAGCAAAGGGACAACCAGCTGACGCTGGTGGTGTACCTGGACGAATGCACGCCTGGGAATGTGCTCTCTCCCGACAATGCTCGGAAATCCAACCTTACGTACTGGACCATCCTCCAACTGCCGCATATTTACCTTGAGGACACTTGGCTCACCTTGTCCGTGAGCCGGACGTCAGAAATCAGTGCTTTGCGGCATGGCATGGTCACTCTCGCTGCGGCGCTACTGCGAGCTGTGCGGGCGGAGACAGTCAGCGGTGTCCCGGTGGAGCTTTCTGGCTCGGCGGAGCTCCTGTTTTTCGACCGCGTGCTTCTTCTCGCAGACCACGAAGGCCTGCGCGCTGCCACTGGCTGCAAAGGATCTTCGGGTATGAAGCCATGCCTGAAGTGTGCCAATGTTATGAACACTGGCTACGGCAACGTCCGATGGCACGTGACAGTGGCCGAGCCAGACATAACAAGCTTCGTGCCACAGACTCAAAACAGCCTCCGCGCTGCGATTGACCACCTGTCAACCATGCCTACGAAAACTTCCCTCGGCGAGGCCGAAAAGCTCCTGGGCTGGAAGCTCGAAGAAGCTTCTGCCTCTTTTCTTCTTGCTCCCGACATGCAAGAATGGTGCGAGCTAGATTCCTGCACGTTTGACGCAATGCACGCGCTTTGGTCCAACGGCATAGTGGGGCAAGAGCTGGGCTACTGGTACACAGCCCTGCGCCGCAAGGCTAACCTCAGCCTCACAGACATGCGGCGCTACGTAGAGCTAGGCTGGCATGGAGTCGGGCGGGCGCGGGGCATAAACCTCTTGAGTCTGTTCACAGTCCACCTTTGGAGGGAGGGGGCCGACTTTCGAGGAGATGCGGGCCAAGCGCTGTTTGTGCTTTCCATTTGTGTGCAGTTTAGCGAAGACATTGCCATTGGCCTCTGCGCAGACATGCGCCGGGAGCACTCCTCTCTTCAAGCGTTACACCGCGTATGCTTGTGCGTCCTCGAAACGAAGCGCGACACTGCCCATGGCTCTCATCTGGCTCGGCTGCAAGCTGAGCACATCAGAAGCTTTGCGGCTGTCTACGGCGCTGATACGGTCCGGCCCAAGCTGCATTATTCCTTGCACTTGCAGCAGCAGTGCTGGAAGTGGGGTCGCTTGGTTGACTGCTTCACTTGTGAGAGAAAGCACCGCGCTTTCAAACGTGTCGCAAGAAGGCAACAAATGCTAGCACGCTTTTCCCAGCAGTGCTTGCTCGAGTTAGCAAGCGCTGAACTCCGCTCCAAGCAGCCAGCCAAGAGGCTTCTGTGGCGCCTGGACGGTCGGACGACTGAGAACGTGGACGTCGGCACTGCGCTGGGCGCCACTGCTCCAGCCACCCTGGCCCCGCGAGCTCTTGGCCCAGACACAATCTCAAGAGGGGATGTTTTGATCCCCTCCCCTGCGGAAGCCTTTGAAGTGCTCGGGGTAACCTCCGTGGACTCGCGCATCCTTCTGCTGATCCACGTCTTGGAACCAGCAGACCTTCATTTCAACACGACCCGGTCGGGACGATCGAAATGGACACGCGCGAGCACTAGATTGCACGCTGTCCATATAGAAAGTGTAGCGTCAGCGCCTCGGGCCATGCACATGCGCGAAGAGCGCATTGGCAACACCACGCACATCTGGCTGCTCGAGTAGGAAAAAACGGCCTCTGACACGCTGCCGGCTGAAGAAATTCGTGATCGAACCCACCATGGCTGAAGAAATTGGATGCAAAGCGCGCTATAAAAAACACGTAAAACACAAACGAACATGATAATGCGCAGAAGCTGAGCAAACAAGTTAAAAAAAGTTAAGTAACTTATAAGTAACTTATAAGTTCCGCCTAACTTCCCTACAGCTAACTTTCATAAGTTCTCTATAACTAACTTATAAGTCCTTAAGTTGCCCGAGCATTCTAAGTACTACTGCACGTGGCTCAAGGAAAAAGCGCGCTGAGTACAGGGTTCAATTGTGACCCTTCCCGGTTGTTTAACCTGTTCTATACAAAGTCACCCTATGGCCCTATCTATTCGTGCCAGTGCCCGTTGCAAACCTTTGTCCGCCCTTTGGCCACGGAAATGTCTAAAGACGATTCTTCTGAGGCCAGCGACACGACCTTCGACATGCCCCGATAACTCGACAGAACGTTAGATGCAGCCGTGGATTCCAATTGTTGCGCTGGATTTGAGCTCTCAGGGGAAGCAACCTTAAATCCTCCCCACTCTTCAAAACTGGATTGCATAGGTTTGGCTTCCTCATCCTCGAAAGGCCAAAAGAGAAACACCGTCCGCATGTTTCTGAGTCATGCAAGCAGGATCTCCGCAGTTACGCCCTGAACTGAGCAAGTGTACCACTCATGATGGGTTTCCCAAAGCCCCTCCCCCAACAGCCGGCCATGGGATCGATCCCAAGGTGCCAAGACAAAAACCTGTTGAGTTTGTTTTGGGCTGGTGAATTGCTGGTTTACCATGACTAGATTTGGTTTCGAGGTATTCCTATTCAAATACTTCTGTATGACCGTTTTGTTTTACCTGCTCAATTGCATGGGCCATTCACTTCATGCTTTTTGCGGGCAATGAAGGGCTGGGTCCCACTTTCTGGGTCCTGAAGCTCTTTTGAACAAAGGAAGACTCTTGTGCTAGGTATAAGGCATCTCGGTAGGTGAAGGCATTTTAATGAATTGGGCTCTTGTAGTGGATAAGCCTGAAAAGTGCGATGATTTTGATCCACATAAGCTTGGTGAGTCACAAAAGACTTAGGTACCTTTCGATTGGTACCCATCCATGAAAACAAATCATTCAAACGTGGCTAATCTTTGTATTCATCAAACCCCCAAGCAAGGAACAACAAAGGGAGCCTGATTCTGGAGGTTCCCCAATGTTGGCATTTTGAAAAGACACCCTTCCTCACAAAGGTACCTGAAAGAACATGTTCCTCAAGGGACCCATAGGTCTGTCAGGCGCAATGGCGCATGGGAACAAGGCTATATGACGATTCTGTGTATGTTCCGCATTCATTCTGGGACTCATCCGACATTAAGCCGAACATGTAGTTGTTTGTTTCGCTTCCACCCTTCATGGAACCTGAGAATGAATCAACACGTTTATTCTAGGGCCGGGCTCACCTCGCATGAGTGGTAAGGACCCAATTTAGATGATGAATCTCCTGAACCTACGCAATATTGGTTACATGATATTATTAGCCCAACCATTTGTTTCTTTGGAGGCAGGGTGTAGATTTTACACTTTTCAGATCGGGAAGACCAAAAAACAGAGGGGGTATTTTTTAGGATTGCTCGTCGTTTTTTTTGGCATTTGTTTTTCCAAAACAAGAAAAAGCCGCGGTGAGGTTCAGCATCTCGGTGGTCTTCGAATATGCACTGGTAGCCTTCCTCATGCAGCTCGAGGCGGCCCGGGAGCGGCAGTTCGAGGTGCGGCTGACACGGCGGACGGTGATTCCGAAGCCGAAATCCGAGACCCGCACGACTCACAATGGCCATGGGGCATAACCGGCATAACCTATGGCTCCATACTGGGGTGGATGAACGTCCATTCGCCACCTATTTTGATGTTCACCAGGGGTACAGGGTTCTGACCCACAGCCAAATAAATCACCCGGAGTTGAAACCATAAGGTTGGTTGGTAAATTTACGTTGGGGAATGGAGTCATCATGGGATTTCTGAACGGTGCTGCGAAATGGACTTCGTCCATCCGCAGTAGGATTCTTGATTTTGGGCTCAGCATACACAGAATCTGTTCCGGTTTTCGGAAAACCGCCAGAGTTGGGCCAACCTCAAACACCCAGCGGTTCTAGTGTTTCTCGATAGTTGTGGAGGGATGCGTTTGCTCGTGCGCAGGCGTGCAAGCACATTGCAGCCGCCTTGAAGAAGAAGAGAGTGGATGAAGAGGCGGGAGAGCCAAATGCGCTTGCCCCGAAGATGCATAGCCCATACCTTTCCTTTTGTTTGGAGGTGGGCCCTTCAAATCAAATACCAAGAAAAGGGCGGGCAATAGAGAATTCAGAGAATGAGAAGGGCTGGGATTAAAGGAGCCAGGGCCATATGGCCATTGTTGGTGGGTCCACTTAATTCTTTTGGACCCGGACAAGTTTCCTGCTGGATGCCAAAAGGCTGCACGGGGCATTGCCGACGGGCTTGTTTCATTTGGCTGCAGGACCCCATCAGTTCCAGAAAGCCATCGACGGATTTTTGTGGGCCAGCCCGTTTCAGAAGCAAGAGTTGCACTCCTGTGATGCCTCACTTGCCTGTTGAATTAATAATTGTTGTACTTTTGTTGTGTGGAGGGTTCTTTGTGATCCTAGTCAAGGCAACCGACAAGGGACTCTTGTTTGGCTTCTTCTGGAATTGTAAAAGCAGCAGGTCAACTTCCAAGCGGCAGAGGCACGGGCCACTTACAGGTTTCCCGAGTCGTTGAGTCGCACCCAACAAATCCTTTGCTTGTTAGAAAAGTTCCCCACTGGAAGAACACCTGGTGGCACAACAATGGGTGAGTCAGTTTCAGTTTCATGGGACTTCCCGCAATGGTTCCCTGCCTCGCGGCCAAATTTGTAGCTTTCGGAAAGCCCCCGTCGCCAGGCGTGCATCGCGCAGGAGATTGTCCAGTTGGCGGAGCGATCCCCACAGATCACGGTGACCCGGAAGGAGACCGCCTGGACTGCTATTTGGGTTGGATCTTTACTAGGTCCCCCAGTAGTGCCCTTTTACCAACTTTTTTGGGGAGGGTTCCCCTACTAAAATAGACTACATAAAAAAGGGTACCCTTATTCTAACCTTTCTACTGGAGCACCTTGCTTAGACTTTAACTCTTTCGTTGAAGTCAATATGGGTTTTCCACAAAGCCGACAAAAAGTGAAACAAATGCAGGGGGGTCAACAGCAACTAAGAAGAACGCCGGGACTTTGATCGCCCGGACTTTTGTTTGTTTCCAGTTGAGAAGCGCGTGCGGTGGTTTGGCGGAAGAGCGACTGGGCGCTTTGCAGAGAATCAGTTCAGCCACACAGGGCCTGGTTGTTTGCTTTGTCGACTCAACCGTCACAGTTTCGGCCATTTGACAGTGTATTTCCTTTTTATAGGGTGATGTTTAGAGAGGAGATCTAAGAACCCTTCAACGGGCCACTGTTTTCGTTTGACCGAAGTTTTGCTGGGGAACACTCTGAAATTGGCTTACTCGACCACTCCGAAAGTTGGTTGGTGGACATGAATCCCCCAAATAAACGATGCCCCAGAAAGGTTGCAATAATTTAACGTTTCTAGAGAAGCTTTGAATGTGTGTGGCGACTGGTTCTGAAAGTGTCCCAGTCATACTTCAGATGAGACATTTGTTGGGGGGGACAAGATGGGAAGGAGAGGACATTCAGAAGCACTGTTCTTACAGGTGACAGGAAGGGTTTCTTTCAGTCGGCCCAGAAGTGAGTGAATTCGAGCAAGTTCACGGGGCGGAAATCGAGCTCACCCAAGAAGTCTCAGTCCTGCTTGGTGAGTCATAGGAATGTGCCTAGGTCCCCCAGTAGTGCCCTTCTCTCCCCTTTTTTGGGGGAGGGTTCCCCTACTAAAATAGACCACAGAAAAAGGGTACCCTTACCCTCTCTACTGGAGGACCTAGGTGCTGATTTTTGGTGCCGTCACTTGATGTTGCAGGACCATTTTTGCTGGTGCTAACAGCGCAATTGCTGGCAATTAGGTTTGCGCAAATGCTTCGCGATTCCAACCCGCTTGTGAGTGACGAAGTAGGTCTAGTTCTAGGCATGGAATCCCCTTTTGGTTCCACAGAAAATAGCCCTACTTTCCAACAAATACTTGTAAAGGCTTGATTAAAAGCTGTGATTAGCCATGGTTTATATCATCATCAGGGACGTCGCGTTAGTGACCGACCTGTGGTGTTTTGGCTCAAGTTTTTGGATCCGGCGCGCCTCGGATGAGCGTCGCCGGGCCCTCACGTCGACCGCCTTCGTGTCGGAGGAGAAAGAGACTTCGGCCCGGGGTAGGTTGGTGGGGATCGCCCGTGCGGTTCATCGTCGATCTAGGTTGCGGGTATCCTTTTCTACTTTGGTTATTTTCCCTTTTGGTTGTTGTTCTCTGGTGTGTGGGAAACCCTGATCTTTGGGACCGGGGATTGGTTTGCTTTTGGGGAACCTTTCTTTTGTGGCTTGTTTACCCCAACTTACCCATTGCCTGGGCACGGGCTCGTGCCCGAATCACAGGTTATCAGCCGTAGGACTTTCCTACGCGCTTGAGACCATCAACTACAAGCTCTATGTCGACCCCACGATCTCATAGGAGTGTCGTGGATGAGGAGGCCATCCTTGGTGGCCTCCGCTCAGGTGAGGACCTACCGGACTATGACTACGAGGATTTCGAAGCAGGTTCGACAGGTCAGGACCGCAGGGGTGAAGATCCCGGTAGATGCACCCAGGGGCCGTGGCAGGTACGCCGACGATGGAGACGATCGTATTTTCCGCCAGGCCACTGATGACGAGCAGCAGCAGCGCAGGGTTTACTCCGATAGGAGTGGCTCTGAATCAGGTCACAGGCGTGGACATTTTGACTTCATCAGCATGGCGATGGACATGGCCCGCCCTCATTCGGATGACCCGGAGGCCATGCCGATTCGACCTCCAAGATCTCTTGTTCCAGGTGAGTCGCAGGTCTCAGACGAGTTTGAGAGTAGGCCGCAGGGACCAGGGACTATGGTTCTGGTTCCGGGAGGTATCCCGGGCCGACCCACTGGTTCTCAGAATCCAGGTCAGTTTGATGAACACGAGGAGCGGAAGTTCTCAGGTTTCGGATACGATGATCTGTTGAAATCTACCGCAGGTTGGGGCAGTAGCTCAAAGCAGGGATCTGATGCCGGTAGGCCCAACCCCAATACCAAATCTGAGTCTTATGATGACGAAGGTTACAATTTTGCGGATGAGGAGGAGAGCCGTTCACGCCGAGATGCAGGCAGCCGTGCGACTGCAAGGACTAGTCCCGCCGCTGCCAGTTTTGAGGCCGATGATGATGAGGAGTATGCCGCGTTTGCGGATCGCCGTGATGAGGAGGAGGACCAATCACGACGAAATGCTAGGATCCGTGATGCTGCGAGGCCCAGGAGCCTCTCTCGTGGAGCCGCCAGGGACCTTCGCGTTGACAGGGATGCCCGAAGCGAGAGAGAGAGAGCCAGGGACAGTCGGGAAGTTCTTCGGGGATTGGAGGCTATCCATGACCGTGAGGGACCGGTAGGTCCCCCGGCGATTGGTGATACCCCGAATGTTCCCCCTTTTCCCAACATTACGTTTGGAGGTCCGTTAAATCAGAGAGACGTGAACTCGAACCGGGTTACTGGTTCGCCGAGATCACTGAGCGGGCTGCCGATGTCGTTAGGACAGGTGCCAGAGATGGTCGGCTTGCCGATGCACTCGGAATCGAGGATCGTCCGTCGATCGCTAGCCCGTTAGGGCGAGATACCAGTGACCTTGAAACGCTAAGGTCCAGCAACGAGTTCACACCTCAATGGGGCTCGACCGCCAGGGAACGTAGTGCTTCTGCGAAGAGACCGTCACCCCTGGCCATTGAGACCGATAGGTCGAAGGCGAGGAGGGCTAGCCCCTCACCAATGGACTCAACTCCGCAGGATGAGGAGATGCCTGATCCTGCTGATGTTCACATCCACTCTACTCCCGAGTCTCGTGCGTCCCATGTTGATCCCCGTTCCGGCGATAGCCGTAGAAGGGGTTCTACTCCTAGCAGGCCATCTGGGGTTGGTGATTGTCCCGTGGATGACCCCAGAAGACATGCCGGGGCTAGTGGGGCTCCTGAGAGGATCGAGATATCGACTCCTCCCGCCCTTAGATCCCAGTCTTCCGGCGAATCAGGTGACGCTAGGGCGAAGGAGGTGTTCGATTTGCACATCCAAGAGATGCTCGAGAGAGGTGAGGTTTCTGGCTCGGTCGCGAAGGCGTTCCACATCTTTGCTGACCAAATCAGGGTACTGAACGGTCAGGTGAGTTCCGTGCGAAGGGAATGGAGCGACGAGAGTCAACGGACGAAGGACAAGGTCGATCGCCTGGCAGCCGAGGTTGCGACTCAATCTGATGCCGGGAGGATGCGAATGATAGTTCAACGGTTCGCAAGGGAAGTTATTCCCGATAGCAAGGCCATTGTGAGACAAGCCATCGATGAGCAAGCCGAAGTCGTGGAGCAGAGGATTAACCTACTGTCCCACGAGGTCCATGAATCTGTCAGGGACAATGAGGCATCGACTGATCGGCTTCGCCTGATGATTCAGGAGAATAATGAGGCTGCCCGCAGGAGTCATGCTGCTTCCGAGGATGAGACCCTCAAGGACTTGGAAAAGCTCGAGAAACGGATGTTCTCGGTAGAGAAAACCGTCGGGATTCGGACACCAGCAGGTGAATTGAACTTGAATCCTGTTGCGCAACTGTCCGATAGGGCCAGTAGCAGTGTGGTGAACGCGAATTTCAGGGAGTTAAACCTGAAGATCGAGAAAGCTCTCCTTGAACACGAGACATTTGCCAAGCGGGCCTCTGAATCTATTGAGGGGATCAATGAAGAGCACGCCCGTCTTGCTAATCGAGTGTCGAGGCTGCAGAGTGGAAGGGGATCTCAGGAGGTCGATAGACCATCAGAACGTGATTCCCCACAGGACTGGCATGAGGCTATTGACGAGGTCAATCGGAAAATGCAGGATCTGGCTCGAGGAATTCAACGTCAACGTCGGGATCATGACGATGTCATTTCTAGGTTCGAGACCGTGAGGTCACATGTTGAACAGTATGAAGCGAGATCGGCAATTGTGAATCGGGTCGTTGATAACATTCAAGGACAGATCCGTAATCTTCCTGCCAGCAGTGACCAAGTGCAGCCTGCCGTTAGGCGAGAGCTCGGCACATTCCGGAGCACACTTGAAGGTGTTATGCGGAGAATCAGTGCTATCGATAGTAGCGTGCGTAATCTTGGCGCAGCGCACAACAGAATCATGTCTCAGCTCTTTGAAATGGAGGGTCAATTTGACGAGGCCGCTGGCATCATTCAGGGTGTCCAGCAGATTAATGAGGCTCCTCAACAGCCCAGAGATAGACGGAATGTTGGTTACAATGCGTTTGCGGGGCAGGGACATAGGATCAGGTCTCCGACGCCCACACCCGGGGAAGGTGACGGCCGGGGTACTGGCCGTCCGGTGAGACCAGGTGGGGGCGCTGTTTTGCCTGATCAAGTTTTGCCGGATGTGCCCGATAGGGTCGATCCTTCTCGCGCAGACAGGCATCCCATCTATCCCGTTAGGGAGAGGTCCGACAGCAGGAGCAGGAGGGTTCGGGGGTTGCCTGACAGGTCGCATTCGCCACCGGAGCGTGCAAGGGGTGATCCCCGCGCGCGCGCAAGGGGGGACGTTTCTATTTCCCCCAATAGGGATGTGGGTAGGAATAGGAGCCCGAGGCCTGCTGCCGTCCCCGATAGGGGATCTGAGGTCCGGAGTCGACAGCCGAGGGGGGAGAGGCCGATCCGCGATAGCGGGAGTGTCGTCATTCAGGAGGTGGTGGTGATAATAGGGTCCATGCCAACATCCAGAGTCCTGGTGATGAGTGGAGGACTCCTGGGAGTAGAGGACACCCGGAGTCCCGGCGATAGGCGAGGGACTGCTG